CCGCGTGGGGGCAGCGTGGGCCCAGCCGAAGTCACGGAGAGGAGCAGGGCCGCACGGAGCCGCCCGCTCTGCCATGGAGCCGGTCGCCAATCCCCGTGTTCCCGAGCGTCTCCGTGGCGCCTGCTCCGTGCAAACCGCCGTTTGCAGCCCTTTAAAACTCGGGGTTTGAAGGAACTTCAAAACTGAACCACGTCATGATGGGCTCCTCCATCCGAAGGAACTTGTAAACACGGAAGGACACACTGTTTAATTTTGTGTTAGTGCTGCTGTCCTGCAGCCTTGCTGGGGAATATTTTGCATCATTTGTACTGAATTTTATGCTGTTCTCACCAAGCATCAACAGAGTTTTGAATGCCATAGAATGGGTAGTCTGTTAAAACAGAGCGTGTCATTTTAAGGCATAATTGTTATGGCCCTTTAGTTCGTCTTAAGTCCGGATTTTTAACACTTACCACTGGGTTGGGGATTCTCTGGAGAGAGGCCAGAGGGACAGCAGATATGGCCTGGAGGAAGGAGTTTAGTAGTGGGATTTATTTAGTCGAGAGGTGGCTGCGAGAGGATGCGTGTGTTCTCAGACACGTTACAGATAGCTGCAAAACAAAGTAAAATGCCTGTTTTCCCCAGCTGCTAAGAGGAGGTCGCAAGAGGTAACAAGCATAAATCACACGTGGGACACTTAAGGAAAGCTCCTTCCGCCTCCATGTACAGTCTCCACCCCTGGAGCTTTCAGAAGGCTCCTTTTTCCTCCCCCATTCAAGCTTGGCCTTGCAAATGGGTTGAAAAGATCTACAAGATTCCAGGAGCAGTGGAAAACTTAAATGGTTGGGGATATAAGAGCTGGGGCTGGACACATGTCCTGCTTATATACAGCTACAGGCGTTGCTGCAGCAGGGTGTGAGGCTCGCACAGAACTAATTGCAGTCACCTCCTTTCTTTTGTTACTCCAGGGTTTAAAGCTGTTGGGTTCTGGCTGCTAACACAGTAGGCTGAGCCATCCACTTGCAGGCAAATCTGTGGAGCTCCCTGCTGGGAACAAGACTGTGCATGAGATGTTGGGCTTGGGAGTGGGTGCCAGAAGGGTTTGCTCGCGGGGCCTGCTCTAACTACCTGTCCTCGACCACAATGCAGGTACAACCCGCAGGTCATGGAGAAGGTCCTCGAGATGGCCGAAGGCATCGACATCGGGGAGACGCGGACGTACGAGCTGGTCCCTGCCAGGAAACTAAAGAGACACCTCTCTCCGCCTGACAGTGAGTAAATCTGGCTGTGTGCAGGGAGGCACCTCCTTGGCGTGTGCTCTGCGTGCCGGGGGCCACAGGCCTTCTCTGAGCGGCTGCTGCCCAACAGACTGAGGAGAAATGAGCACATTGGCTCTGAGACTGCAGCTCTTTTCCCTCCTCTGCTGTGCTGGGAGGTGCACCTTTTTCATGCAGAGTTTGTTTTTTTTTTTTTGCTTAAGAAATTCTCCTGTTTAATAGAAACTTCCATGCTGTTGTTTTCCCTAATGAGACCATTTGGGAACTAGATCCCTGTCACTGAACAGGGCTACACTAAGCACCAAGGGCTGTTCTGCTGGGGAGAACTTTTAGGTGCTGCTGCGGAGTGATCATGAAAATAGCAAAACTGAAGAGGAAATGTAAACTTTGCCATAATTCATCAACTCTGTGATGACCAAAGAGTGTAACCCATGTGCAAGAGCACTGTCACCTGATTTCAATATCAGTGCCTGTTTATGCTGTACTTGAAATGCTTTTTTTTTTTTAATTTGCAGTGAAGCAGTTTGTGGTGACTGTGCTAAGGATGATGTCTAGACAGGTGGAGGTGCCTGACCTATATGATAGTTGCACGTTTTGGTGTTGGATTAGGCAGCTCATTCCAAGAGTGACCTTTTGCTCCCAGAGGAAATCCCATGCATGTCGTGCTTTGCCATGTGGGAGCTAAAGCCTTGGCCGTGTTCAAGGAGGAGTCCTGGAAAGCCAGCTCTCTCTCCATAATCCTTACCACTAATTATGGGGAGATATTTTGCGTGGCAGTTTGTGTAGTTAGACATATCTCTGTAGTGACTTTTACAGGCATGAATGCTGTATCTGATCAATGGCAAATCTTTGATTTTGTGGTTAAAAAGTGGAACTTGGTGTTTAAAGACTGCGGGCTCCTCCCAGACATCCTTTTGAAAGCATTATCTCACTACCACAGTGTGTGTTGGTAATATTGCAATTTTCTTCCATCCACAGGTCCAGAGCCAGAAGAGATTCCCGAGCCTCCCAAAAAAATGGTCCCCAGGTTCCGGGTACGACCACGCTTCGAGCCCATACACTTTGTAACCAGCGCCGAGAAGGATGCCAAAAAAGAAGATTCCGACGATAACCAAGCGCAGGAGGCGAACCAGGAGGCACCCGCGAACAGCATAGCACACCCAGCTGAAAACTGCACTAGCTCCCCTTTTGAGCGCGCCCAGGAGGTGGATCCCCAGCTCTCCAGCTCCGCTGGGCTGGGCTTTGCGAGCCAGGTAGCAATAACCAACAAGGCTGTGAACAGTGTGGACGCTACCCCCCGTGGCACAGTACAGGTTTCCGTTTCCCCTCCGACTGTCCAGTCTTCATCAGAGACTTTCCCCCCGTCGGCTATAGTGCTGAAGCAGACTTTCATTGAAAAACTCTCAGCAGCTGTCTGGAAAAATCTTGCTAACCCCGATGCAAACACCGGGACTGATAAAATTAACTATACGTATTTGTTGACACGTTCAATTCAGGCATGCAAGACAAATCCTGAATATATTTATGCTCCTCTCAAAGAAATAGCCCCTGCTGACATCCCCAAGAGTAAGAAGCTCTTAACAGATGGCTTTGCGTGTGAAGTGCGATGCCAGAATGTATACCTGGCCACTGGGTACGCTGGCAGCAAGAACGGGTCCAGGGATCGCGCTGCGGAGCTGGCGGTCAGGCTGCTCCAGAAATCCGTGGAAGTCAGAGTTATCCAGCGCAAGTTCAAACACACCTATCACGAAGACCTGGTGGTGTGTGAGGCAGGCGTGAGTCGCCCAGACTTTCCTCCTGCCCTCAAACTCCACGATGAGTTTGTAGCTGCCAACAGGGACTGTGTCCCAGCACAGGCTGGTGCTGAAACTGTGAAAACTTCCTCTAATACCAGCAAACACTGGACTAGTTTTGTCCTCACAGAGAATGCTAGCGACGCAATAGGGATACTTAACAATTCTGCCTCGTATAACAAAATGTCTGTTGAATATAAGTATGACTTAATGCCCAACCGCCTGTGGCGCTGCCGAGTGTATCTGCAGGACCACTGCTTAGCAGAGGGCTTTGGCACCAAGAAGACCAGCAAGCACGCGGCAGCCGACGAGGCACTGAAGATCCTGCAGAAGACACAGTCGAACCTGACAGCCATCAAGGTGACCCAGGTTCAGAAAGTGGGTTGCTCGTCACGAGGCTCTGGAAGGAAGAAGGACCTGAAGGACCTTGTGGTTTACGAGAACTCCAGTAATCCTGTGTGCACACTGAATGACACGGCGCAGTTCAACAAGATGACGGTGGAATACGTCTTCGAGAGGATGACCGGCATGCGGTGGAAGTGCAAGGTGCTGCTTGAAAACGAGTTCATCGCGGAAGCAGTTGGAGTGAAGAAATCCGTCAAGCATGAGGCAGCAGAGGAAGCTGTGAAAATCCTCAAAAAGACTCAGCCAACTGTTGTTAATAACCTGAAGAAAGGCACCATCGAAGATGTCATCTCCAGAAATGAGATTCGGGGTCGGTCAGCAGAAGAGGCTTTCAAACAGAAAATCAAAGAAGACAACATTGGGAATCAAATTTTAAGAAAAATGTGCTTG